CTCTGGAGACAAAACTGCACACGGCATCTGTTCTAGCCTGATTCCCAATCCTAAATAAATGGATCCCACAAACCATTTTATCACTTATTTTATGATCTCCCTGAAATAACAGCAACACCAACAAAAAAGGTAGATCAAGAAATTCCTTGCTTTGCTCTGGCTACTCCCCATTTCATCTGCACACCAACCCCTCTCTATGGGAGACGTATCCAAAAGAGCCTGTACCCTCAGCCAGTTACCAGCTGAATAAGTGATTATTTTATAGCCTCCAAGCTAAAAGGCCACAGATCTTGCCAGATCAATAGGATCTAAGAGTTAAAATGAAAACAGATCATTTTACCACATGTCCGATATGGACAGCACTTTTCTGGGCTCCAAACTTCCACCAACGACATCCCCAGTGCACACTGAAATTCATGGCAACGGTAGGTTTCACAAACTAAAAAGAAAGAAAAAAATACCTTCAACATGCAATTCTAAATTTTTTGTAAATGAACAGAAACAGGAATCACAGGAAATGAACTGCTCACTCATGACAAGCTCCGGAGAATATCTAGCTTGTAAAAATTGTTGACCAAGATGAAATGCTAGATAGCAGTTGATAGATATATAAAAGGTAACCACTCAGGGACGAGAGTATTGCGTTTATATTTGTTTTATAATGTTCTGAGTTAATCAATTTAATCTCTATTGTTTAGTGCCAGGAAAGACCAGTACCCATCCATGACATAGATGCGTAGATGCAGCTTTATGAATACAGTAGTTTAATCATTGAAAGAGTACAGGTTTAGCATTAGAGAGAACAGATCATATGCCAAACAGGAAAGATATATCTAATCCACCACTTATGGCACTGAATATTTATTACTCAGAAGTTTGGTGCAGTGACTCTAATACATTCATTTCAGAATCATGAAAAAAAGTCAAATTAACTTACCACACTGATATGCAGGGCAACATCTATCTGTAGTGTTGCCATCCACAGTAAGCACTTCTCCTTCCTGACATTTTGGTATCTGATCAGAGCAAACCCCGCATGCTGAGGAAGACAAAGATTTAAATGCAAGAAAGGAAGAGAACTGAAAATGTCAATGAAATGCAGCACACAAGAACTAACTGTATTTTTTCTGCAGTCATTCAGCTGTCTTACAGCATCTTCAATCTGCCTGAACTTAGGTACCGCATACCCTCGCTATAACAAACCCCTAGAAATGCAAGCCATTTATTCATTTCTAAACAGCAGCAATTTGTTTGTTATAGTGAAAAAGACCTGCCCTAGGGGGAGGGGCAAGTTTACATCCTCCAGGCCTGTAGTGGGAGCTGACCGTAGAGCTACAGCCGGGGCAGACAGTTCTTAGCCCCCTATCATGGCCCCAGGGCCAGAGACGCTCTCAGTGGAGCTCCAGGTGGGATCTAGAGACCAGGTTCACTATGGCTCAAGGTTCATACTTATGAAAGGCTTTGTATCAAGTGTGTCCTGTATCTCTGGTTCCCAACAAAAAGCCTGTTTCATCTGCTTACTTGAACTTGCAGCAAAATCACAATTTTTGATTCCACAAGCATTTCTAGTTGAGAAATTGATTACTTCAATCACAGATAGGACAATGGATGGTGAAGGAAGGAGTGCCATACTGAATACACAGCTTCCATGCTCACAGAGCAAGCACAGAAAGCTGTCAACAATGAAAATGACTTTGATCCAAATCTATGGAAGGTAGTACCCAGGTGGTAGTCCTTACTGAAACCCCAGCTATTTAACAGGCTTTCTTTAGTTCATTAAAAGTTGCATGCAGACTGCCAGGCCAGGAGATTCACCCCCTGTGCTCCACTGAAATTAGGAGAGTGCAAAATGAGAGAATATGCTTGAGGGACACATATAGGACAGTTTGCAGGCTATACAGCAAAGATCTTTACCACTGCAAGTGGAAACCTTGCAGGATCTCAAGAGTGCTATTTTATTATTGATCTACACCACTGGTTTTCAAACATATTTGATCGGTCCCCCCTTCTTTGTGTCTCTAGTCATTTTTGTACCCCACTTCCCCCTTCCACAAGTACATATACTTAGGCCCACCGACTTGTGGGGCAAAGAGGGCAGCTGCACTGTGACCTGGCAATTCAAAAGAGCCTGGGGCTTCTGGCCACCACTGCCACAGGGGCAACAGTGTCCAGAGCCCCAGGACCTTCAATTGCTGCTGGAGCACCATGCGGCATGCTTCAAGCAGCTCTCAGGGCCGGCTAGCGGGTATGGAGCCCTGTGCTGTGTGCTCCAGGTGGGGCTGAAGGCTGGCTCCCCCAGCCCTACCCCTCCAGCCCGAGGCTCCACCCCTTCTGGGAGCACAGAGCCAGGCCTACCTACCTTGCCCAGGGGCCTACTAAGTCTGTCAGCCCTCCTGTGTGTACCACCACCCAGTTCTGAAGAAGCACTGAAATCCAGGTGGCAAGGTGAACAGTGATACCCACCAATACCTCTTTTCAGAACACACTCAGTGCCCTATTGCCACCCTTACTTCTATGCTGTCATTGCCGCCGCAGCAGGGCTGACAGGTGGAGCCCTGCCACCTCCAGGTGAGGGAATGGGGAGGAGAGTCCAAGTCCAGATAGCAGAGCTCAAGCTGTTCTCTTTATAGGTACCTCCCAAGTGTGCACAGCCTTTCCGCATGAGCCCACCCACCCAGGGCTGGCAGCAAGAGCTCTTTACAAAAAAGCACACAGTTCATGCCTCCCTTGACACATTCCTGCCCCTCCCTTGGGAAGCCCACTCTAGGCCAGCCTTCAGTCCCCCTTCCATGGAATCCCCAGTCCTGCTAGAACAGGGTATGTCTACACTACCCCGCTAGTTCGAACTAGCGGGGTAATGTATGCATACCGAACGTGCTAATGAAGCCCGGGATTTGAATTTCCCAGGCTTCATTAGCATAAAGCCGGCTCCACCATTTTTAAAAGCCGGCTTGTTCGATCCCCGGGCCGCGCGGCTACACGCGGCACGGGCTAGATAGTTCGAACTACGTAGTTGTTCCGAACTATCTGTACACCTCATTCCACGAGGCGTACAGATAGTTCGGAACAACTACGTAGTTCGAACTATCTAGCCCGTGCCGCGTGTAGCCGCGCGGCACGAGGTTCGAACAAGCCGGCTTTTAAAAATGGCGGAGCCGGCTTTATGCTAATGAAGCCCGGGAAATTCAAATCCCGGGCTTCATTAGCACGTTCGGTATGCATACATTACCCCGCTAGTTCGAACTAGCGGGGTAGTGTAGACATACCCACAGTGTTTCCCAAACTGTGGGCCGCGGCCTGGTACTGGGCCGCGGCCTGGTACCGGGCCGCTGGAAAAAATAGCGGGCCTCAGCATGGCTGGTGGCTGCCGGCAGGGCCGGCCTTAGGCCAATTCGGGTCCCACTCCCCTGAACCCGGAAGTGCTGTCGAGTTACAGAGCTAGGGGCCCTGCTCCACCGATATGTGGAGCTGAGTCTCTTTCCCGCTCTGCCTGGAGCGGGCCCGGGCCCAGGCCCCGGCCTCAGCCCCCGTGTGCGTCCTCCCACCCCACCCCCAGAGCGTCCCCGCTGTGCGCGGCTCCTCCTCACCGCCTGCTGCTGCCCATGTGAGGTGTTGAACGTGGGCGGGGAAGACGCCCGGGGGGGGTTACATGATGTCACGGCCTGGGATTTTAAAACTCTTCGGAGGCACGTGGCGGGGCCACGCTGCCTCCAGGGCCAGCCTCCGGGGCCTGAGCGTAGCCTCCGGCCCCACAATGTGGAAGGCAGAAGGTAGGGAACGGGCTTGGGCGGCGAGGTGGTGGCAGCGGCAGCAGCGGGGGCAGAGGGGAAGGCACCAAGGGAAAGGGTGCAGGAGAGAGAGACAAATGCCAGGGGACCAAGTGCAGACAATGCGGGAAAGGGCAGGAGGGGAGGTGTCATTGGGAGAGGGGACAGGGTGATGCTGGGAGAGGAGAAGAGAGGGGAAGGGCATTGGGGGCTGGAGGAGGAGGTGCTGGGAGAAGGCTTGAAAGAAGGAGGCACCAGGAGGGTGCAGAGCTAAGGGAAGGTGCAGGTGCCAGAGGATTCTGGGGTGAGGAGGGGGGGAGAGCTGGCCACTGGAAGCAGAACTGGATGGGGGATTCAGGGCAGGCTGGGGAGTCTGGGAGGCTGGTGGAAGCAGGGCTGCCGGGGGCTGCGAGGTGGGGGGCAGGAGAGAAGTGGCTGCTGGAAGGAGGGCTGTACGCGGGCAGCGGGGCTGGCCAAGGGAGATTGGGAGGAGAAGCGGGGGAGGACTGGCTGGCTGGGAAGGGGGTGGGGGGG